CCGGTATCAAGCAAACAACGATCATTAACGGAAGAAGTTAATATTGGGAGAAATAAGTAGAATTTATCCTCTATTTTCTCGCGTTAGGTAACTACTCACACACATGTATAACTAAATTTTGATAAGTATTTCAAAAACATGTAGTTACTCGCACTGTGGAGTCGGAGTGGGTAACCAGGAGTTTACCTAGCAACCCTATCTTTTACTTAAACCGCATATCAACCCCCTACCATTAGTTGATGACCATTAAAAATAGAAACGAAAAGCAATCAGCTACGGTGATATTTTACTAATTAATCCCTTCTATTGACCAAAATAGCCTTGACGCATTTTTGGGATCCATATGATAAACCCATTGTAAATATTATAAAATTTGTTTAGACAATGTAACTCAGTATTAATTTCATCCTTTCAAGGTGAATGCAATGGTAATATTATTAGGGATAGCAATTCGTATTCGCTATATTCATGTATTGCCAACTTTATATTATATAGGCAATGCAGGGGAGAGTCAAAAACTTTATTTTGGGGAAGGCCAAACTAGTTCCATGTGATTAAAATTTGAAAATTTTATAAGCTAATTAAAATATAACTCTTTATTATATTATTCTTAGTAGTATTGAGGAAAAAGCAATCTATAATATTAGGTGAGGAAAAGTTCAATCGAATAGTGATAAGTTTGACAAAAATTGCATGACAATTTTACACTTTTCAAAAAACATTTGTAGCTTAATAGTATCTTATTTGCGTCCTGAAGTAAATAGTAAGAGAGTTCAAGTCTCCCATAAGCAAAAAATGAATGGGTGAACGTTACCAGTGAATAATAATAACAATAATAATAATAATAATAAATTATGGTATGAAACTATTAATTATTTGTCTTGATTTTGAATTGAGAGCATTCATATTAAAACATATAGGCTAGCATGATGGTATATCTTCTTTGCCTTCCGAAAAAGAAAGTCAAAACTTCAAGTTGTTATAAAAATTGCACGTAAATTATAAAACATTAAGGCTCGGATTGTCTGGACAGAAAATATTTTTCAAAAAATATTTTTTTTATTTTTTGCTATTTGGTTGTAGTAAAATATTTACGAAGAAAAAAAATATATTAAAATTTAAGAAAAATAATTTATTCATAAATTTTCGGCAAGTTATTTTACATACCCTGCCCGATGGACTCGGCCTCAACCTCAACGTAAACTTTTGTCAAATACTGACAAAATAAAAGTAAAAAAATATTTTACCTAAAAAAGAAAAATATTTTTAAAAAAGAATATTTTACGTCGAAACAAACGGAGCCTAAAAACGATACAATATATAAACTTTATTCAGCCATGTGAGCTTACCACCAAAGGGTCTGTTCGACCTTTCTGGATTAAACTAAAATGCAAGTCGAGTTGTGTCGAGTCGAACCTGGTTAATCTTGTATTTTATTATTATTTTTTTTTTCGCTTTTGAAGTTTCCAATAGTATGGACCATTATAGAAGTGTTGCAACATGGATGACCAATATTACTTCGGATCCTAGAAAATCAAGAAGAGCAATGAGTGAAAAAAAAAAAAAAGAACATAGAAAAGTATATATTAGTAAAAAATATTTTGACCATGGAATGAATATCAGGGTTCAAATCCTATGATCTGTTAATTTGAAAGTAAACCATTAGATAATATAAATGTCTAACACAATATCCCACTCTTCACCCAAATAATGCAATTCCAATATAAAAATATGTGCATATATATATATATATATATATATATATATATATATATATATATATATATATATCATTTACAATTAGTATGGGTAGCCATCTTTGGTTAATTGTTCCTTCTTTCTAATTCATTCTCTTCAAGACTGGTTTTGAACTCCTTGTAGCATCATTTTCAACAAATCTCTACAGTACATTTCTTTTGATATTACTTGTACAATAATACACTTATATTAGAGCATCGAATTAGCGTCTTGAAATTTAATCTGTTGAAAATTTAATATAAATCCTTTGGAGAGGTGGAATACTAGAATGATAGTTTTAGCAAGAAAATTTGGTAATTACGGGGAGAATAATATATTGACTAAACCTAAAAATAATTTATGTGTATAGACAATTCTTTAAATTTAAAGCAATAAAACTGACCAATAATTTTATTGATCGCCAAAGTCGCAATAAATCAATTATTTTGAAATTCGGTCGCTGAAATATACTACTTTTCCTATATATATTAGCATATGATAGTTTGAAGAATTGGACTTGGCGTGGGTCTTGAACAACTTAATAATCCCAAGTCTTCATGTAATAACTGGCCATCAATAAATTAGAAGGAAGCATCTCACAAACCAAACGGACAAGTATCCTTTCCAGCCAAAAAAATTTCCAAATCTCCATTGATCTCAATTCTTCAGTCCAACTTCAACCACGTCATCATCTAGTCAGGGGCGGAGCCAAGAATTTGGTTCAGGGGGGCATGTTAGCACTGATAAAATAAATTTTTTTCAAACATGACTAAAATATAATAGTGTAACAATAGTGAAAAAGAAAATAAATAAGAAGAGAAAAAAGAAAAAGAAGGTTAATTGCACATAAATTATGCATGAGTGGAAGAAAAAATAATTTTTTAAGAAGAAAATGAAATAAAAAATATATATATATGAGAGAATTTTAAAGGAAAAAATATACGTTAATTATAGAAAGAGAATATAAAAATTTTTGAAGACGACAAAAATAAATTTGAAGAATAATAAGGAAAAGGAATAATGAATTAAAGACATTTTTAGAAATAGATAATTTTATGGGGGATAATTTTATAAATTTTATTGGGGTGTTTTATAAATATTTATAAATTATATGCATAAAATAAAATAAAATTTAATGAATTCAGGGGCAGAGGGGCCATTTTATTAATTTTAGGAGGGGCATTTTATCAATTTTATAAATTTATGTATAAAAAAATTAAAAAATGCTATTGGGGCAGCATGGGCAGGGGGGGCCGTTGCCCCCCCTGGGCACATGCTGCCTTCGCCCTTGCATCTAGTCGAAGTTCATGATACTAGTTACAAATTCGGTTACAACCGAAAAATTATTATACTTTTCCCATATATTAGCATCTGATACTTTGAAGAAGTGGAGTTGGCGTGAGTCATGAACAACTTAATATTCCCAAGTCTTCATGTAATAACTAGCAATCAATAATTTAGAAGGAAGTAACTCACAAACCAACGAACAAGTATCCTCTCTAGCCAAATTTTTCTCATGATCTTCATAGATGTCAATTCTTCCGTCTAGCTTCAACAACGTCATCATTTAGTCAAGGTTCATGATACCAATTATAACTAAATTTGTAAGTAGTAAACTTTGACCAAATGATGACGTGGTGAAATTGAAGTACATAATTGAAGTTTGCGGAGTACATGAGAGGGATTTGGCTAAAGAGGATTCAAATACCAAACGAAAATGTCTGAACTTTTTTCTTGAGTGAAACTATTTTTGATGTTCAACTTTTTAGAACGAAATTATTCCGTCGATATTGATTTTAATTGTGGTCTAGTATTTGGATATTCCTTTGGATAGTAGCCACCTAAATAACTTTAGGTTTAGGTTCTTAGTTCTGTTTGGTTGTTGTTTGTGTGTTGATGCCTAAAAAAAATAAATAAATAAATTTTGCGTATCAATGCCAATACGAGTTTGATGTGTTTTTTTCTACTTTCACAAAAAAAGGGGAATGGTACTCGAATTTAAATTCGCGCACGCCCATTCAGAAAGCTGAATGCTCTATCAAATAGGTCACTGAATAATACTCCCAATTTGATGTATCTAGGCCACTAAATAATGTTTCCAATTTAATGTATCTGCAAACACTATTTTTCTTCTTCAGCCATGAAATTTGGTGCTGGTTGATACTAATATTTGTTGGAAGATACTTTTCAAAATGAAAAAGTATATTAGTTGAATAACCAAATAAAAAGAAAATTAATCAATAATTACAAAGGAGATGACATCACGTGAAGCTCAACATTAATCCCCCTTTCTTTCGTGTAGTTCAGTCAACTTTCTTGTTTGAATGGGTTAGTCAGATGTATTACTGTGGCAAAGTGATCATGTTTGACTTTGACAATGCTAATGTTATGTAGTCCACCCCACGTGGTCCCAGACTATATTATTATTATTATTTTTATTATTTTTATATTTTTTTAAGATAAAAAATGTTAAATTAAAAGTCCTCAAAGATAAAGATAACGGAGTGCAACCCAACCACTTAGACTAAGAAGGCATTCACAATTAAAAAAAAAAGTGTAACAAAAATTTTCTACGAGATTATTATTGAAAATCACCTTATTAGTTAGTAATTGATATTGTGAAAACCAAGTGATAATTGATATTGAACTAGGATCTTGTGAATTTTTCTTTTGTGGGTTAATTTTTTTATTTTATTTTTTTACTTAAATCTTGAGACCTATTTATTTGGGTTGCTTAGTTGATCTGAACACGTATTTTCAAATTACACAGACTAAAAGGTTATTACTGCGTGTTATTTCTTGTGCATTTTTCTCAACAGATGATATCAGGCTTCATTAATTTGAAGGACATCTTGTGGACTAAATTGTGGTTTCTGATAACCTTAAGGGCATTAGTTTCAACTTTCAACGATATCAGGCTTCATTAATTTGAAGGACATCTTGTGGACTAAATTGTGGTTTCTGATAACCTTAGGGCATTAGTTTCAACTTTCAACGTCTACAGACTTGAAAACTAAGCAGTTGAGAAAATTCCATACATACAGCAAATATGTGATCTTGAAACTTTCCTTTCACAGACTCTTCCAAGGGAGAAACTCACATTCTAGAAGTGGGAACCACAAGCTTTGACAGTCTAACAATGAGAGCCCCAAAAAAGTCTTTTGGACTAATCAAGAAGGCCTTTAGAGGCTTGTCATCTTTGTCTAGCTTTACTTTTCAACTCAGAAGCACTTTTAGCCTTTCCAAACACAATAAATTAATATATGAAACTTGCGTATAAAGCTCATTGTGTCCTTACTTTTTTCTCTTACATTTTGACACCAAATGGAGCACATCAGCCTGTTTCTCAGGCTACTATGTTCATCTTTCTTTCTCATTTCAGCAGCCACCAACACTTATGGTTACACAAACGAGACGGACCGCGAAGCCTTGCTTGCCATCAAGGATCAAATACAGGACGATCCCTCCAGGGTTCTAAGCTCGTGGAGCGATTCTCTCCATTTCTGCGATTGGCATGGAGTCACCTGCAGTGATCAGAATCAAAGAGTGACCGGCCTAAACATGTCGTCGCTTAAAATGGTAGGCTCATTGTCTCCTCACGTAGGAAATTTAACTTTCCTTACCATGGTCAATCTTGAGGACAACTTCTTCCATGGCACAATCCCTCAAGAAATTGGGAGATTGTCTCGCCTCCAAAATCTTCGTCTGGCCAATAACTCGTTCCATGGGACGATCCCCACTAACCTGACTCGTTGTTCGGACCTTCAAGTCATTGATGTAAACGGAAATGATCTTGAAGGGACAATTCTCGTCGAGTTCAACGCCTTGTCCAAGCTCCAACAATTGAGTCTTTCCAGAAATCGTTTCTCGGGGAAAATTCCACCTTCATTGGGGAATCTCACCTCGCTGCGTGTATTCTCGCTGTCTGATAACAATCTACAAGGAAGCATTCCTGTTGAGCTTGGAAAGCTCTCCAACTTACAAGCCTTCCAGGTGACTTTAAATCAATTGTCCGGTACAATTCCCGCGCAGTTTTACAACATCTCTTCCATCGAAATCTTTGCTGTGAACTACAATCTGTTCACTGGACATCTCCCATCAAGCTTAGGCCTGAATCTCCCGAAACTCCACTCATTTTTGGCTGAAAAAAACAGATTCTCCGGATCCATTCCTGCGTCATTTGCGAATGCTACCGGAATTGTGAAAATCTATCTCGGAGGAAATGTTTTCAATGGGCCAATACCGCTGGAGTTGGGAAGCCTCCAGGAACTACTAGCCTTGCATTTAGGCGGGAATCCACTTCGAACTGAAGCAAGCAAAGACTTCAGCTTTCTCACCTCCTTCACCAACTGCACAAAGTTGAGAGCACTGAGCTTATATGAAATTGGCTTTGAAGGTGCGTTGCCTAATTCCATCGCGAATCTATCCACCACTCTCACATCACTATATTTGCATGACAACTATATATCTGGAAGCATACCTGTTGGGATTGTGAACCTTGTCAACTTGGCCGTGCTCAAAATAAGCAATAACAAGCTCACGGGTAGGATTCCAGATTCGATTGGAAAACTTACCAGGTTGCATACACTCAACATTTCATCAAACAAAATCTCTGGAAGAATTCCATCCTCCATCGGCAACATTACACGACTAAGCATACTTGCTTTACAACAAAATGTGCTAGAAGATAGCATACCGGCTTCATTGGGTAATTGCAGAATCATTGAAGTAGTAAATCTTTCCCACAACCACCTCACTGGTCCCATTCCCGAACAAATTTTCCATCTGTCTTCCGTTACACGTTGGCTCTACTTAGCTAGAAATCGTTTGAACGGATCATTACCATCTCAGGTGGGGGACATGAAAAATCTTGAGGTGTTGGACATTTCAGAAAACAAGCTCTCTGGTGAAATTCCAAACGCTCTTGGCGATTGTCTGAAATTGGAATCCCTCTACATACAAAGCAATTCCTTCAGAGGAAGTGTACCTTCGACTTTTGAACTATTAAAAGGCATTCAAGTCATGGATCTTTCTGGTAACAATTTGTCCGGGCAGATTCCAAGGTTTTTCGGTGAGTATCCTTTTATTAAAAAGCTCAATCTTTCGTATAATATGTTCGAGGGTGAAGTTCTAAAGGAGGGAATGTTTATGAACGTTAGTGTGTTTTCGGTTGAGGGAAATAACAAGCTCTGTGGAGGAATTGAGGCGTTGCAATTGCCCGAATGTCCTGCCACACACTTGACGAAAGGTACTACTCCTAAAATAGTAGTTGTAACTTGTGTTGTGATTGGCATTTTGTCAATAGCATGTGGTGGTGCTATTCTTTACCGAATCAGAAGACAGAAACAAGAACGCAGAAGGCACAAACCGGAACCGGATTTGCCCTCATCACCAGAGTCAACAATATTCAAGATGATCAAGTATCCAAAACATTCTTATGCAGAACTTCTTCGAGCCACCAATGGGTTCTCTCCAGTCAGCTTAATTGGTGAGGGAACATACGGTTCGGTTTATAAAGGGACTCTCGATCGTGATAACCAAACTGTTGTTGCTGTGAAGGTTCTGAACCAACAAGAAGAAGGAGCCAAAAAGTGTTTCATGGCTGAATGCAAGGCATTGAGTAACATTCGCCACCGGAATATTGTCAAGCTCATTACAGCTTGCACAAGCATGGATTACAAGGGCAACGAGTTCAGCGCTTTGGTTTACGAGTTCATGCCGAATGGGAGTTTAGAAAGTTGGCTACATCCACACCCATCTGACCAGCATCCCTCAAGGAGCCTAAACTTGGTCCAGAGGCTAAATGTTGCCATTGATGTGGCCTCTGCATTGGATTATCTTCACAATTATTGCGAAACACCAATTGTCCATCGTGACTTGAAGCCGAGCAACATTCTCCTAGATGATGACCTCTGTGCCCACATAGGCGATTTCGGCCTTGCAAGGTTTCTTTTCGCCTCCACCGGTAATCCCTATCGTGGGCAAAAGAGTTCAATTGGGATAAATGGAACGGTGGGATACGTCGCTCCAGGTAATTCGTTGTCCATTTATCACCCTTTCTTCAAATATTACCTATGCTCGGCTTCGTGGAATTGGAGAAATATTAGTTCAATTCCAATTTGAAGGATCCAATTCCAGCCGAACATAGAGAAACATCATTCAACTTTTGTGACATGGTTATGTCAAGATACGAGAATGAATCTGTCTACATTATATATTTTACATGCTTGAACAACTCTAATTAGTTCTTGTTAACTGCAGAGTATGGTTTAGGTGGGGAGGTGTCAACAAAAGGTGATGTATATAGCTATGGAATCATCTTGCTAGAGATGTTTACTAGAAAAAGGCCCACCAGCGGCATGTTTTTGGACAATTTTAGCCTCCAGAACTACGCCAAGATGGCCCTCCCAGCGCGGGTGACAGAAATAGTCGATCCCCTACTTGTACTGGAACAGGAAGATGAGTCGAAAAGAGATGAAAAAAGTGGAAGAGGTGACATTGGCGCATTAGAGAATTGTTTGGCAATGATTCTTCAAATTGGAGTCGTATGTTGTGCTGAATTGCCAAGACAAAGAATGTATATTAGAGATGTTCTTGCAGAACTGCATGATATCAGGAATGCATATTTAAGTATTGGAGCAGAGAAGGAGAAGAAAATACAGAATTAAGTATAGTAGCTTAGAACACATGACATAGAGAGACTTCTGTATATGTTTAATGTTTTTGTGAAACAGAAACACTTTTTATATCTATCATTCAAACAAAAAGGCTGAGAAGTTTGCACTGACTTGCAGATTTACTTTGTAGGTTTATTGTGCAAAGAAAATACAGAATTAAATTCATGGTTTATAGTGTTGGCAAATTTTGGCACCACCTGTATCAATGTGACTCGAACACAACACGAGTTAAATAGGTTTGGGTTGACCTTAAACGGATTCATCTCATTAAACAGGTTGACACGATTAACCCGTTTTGCTGATCGTATTGCGTTCGGATTAAGGGTTCAACCCGTTTAATTATGCGTTTCATAAACAAATTTTTATTTAAGTTCCAAAATAACTATCTAAATTTGTGTCTTATTACTTATTCTTTTGTAAATTAGATATTATTTAATATTTTGGTTGAATTGCAATTATATTTTTTTAGTATTTATTGTTTGATTGAATATAATTAATAATATAATATTTTGTTTTAGTAAACAAGTCATTAAAAGGGTTACACGTGTAACCCGTTTAGTAAATAGGTCGGATTAGTATTTAAAATTTTTGACACGATTATTAAACGGGTAGTGTTTGGGTTGAGTTGTTTAGTATAAAACCCTTAAATTAACATGACATAATTATGACTCGCGAATACTAATTGTCACCCCTAATTTATATTATGTGGTAACTAACGAATCAGTTATTATGATGGTGAATTTTTTTCAACCTAGCGCATAAGCCCCGAGATGCACATATACTACAATATAATTCAATGAAAATGAGTTTTTGTGAACTTCAGTGATTTACTTATTTTTGTTAAACTACAGTTACTTTTATTGAATTTTTTTAGGGTATTTAGCACAAGCAGTGACAATTGACCAATTTATGAATTTTAAGTCGTCATGGTTATTGAAAAGACTAGATGATTATACTTTTTTACTGAATTAATGAATGAACGTAAATTTAAGTATGAACTAAATGAAAATTCACACCATAAAAGTATACTACTTTTTCATTCATCGATGTTGATTCCTTTGTTGTTTGTAATTGGATCTCCACGTTCATTTGTTTTCTATATTTACAACAGTGTGGACAGCCCAATACTAAAGCATTAGCCCAGTCAGTGTAGTTCAAATTAAGCCCAACCAAAGGAGGCAATTTTTTTTTTTTTTTTTTTTTTTTCCCCTTAAAGTATGTGTATGAGAGGCAAATTTTCCCGCCCCGCCCCAATCTTAGAGAGAGAAACTGAGCAAGCGACCACAGCGACACAGCCTTAGGCCGCCACAGCCTGACACCCACTCTATCAATTTGTCATCCTCCCTCAAACACCGGCGTCATCAGATCATCACTCAAGTCACCGACTCACCGGCGTCCAGTAAGTTATTTCAGTTACTCTGTTAAGCGTTGAGATCTCTTTGTTTCTCGGATTTACTGAGTCTTGTGTGCTTTTGCTATTGCAAATCTATATTTAACTGTTTATCTACTACTTCCTCTTTAAGCCATAAGCTTTCTTTTCGGAGTTCCTAAGATTGGATTCATCGCGTGACTCACGTCAATGATCTGCTCTCTGCAGGATCTTCTGATTCTTCTTCTTGGATTTTTGTTGTCAATACTTGCAATTTATTAATTTTTGTTTGTTTTGAACCTTTTAGACCTCAATTTTGTGGGGTTTTCTTCTTTGTTTTCAGTTGGCAATTACTTGTGTTGACTATTGTTCTGTAATATTACTGAAAGTTTTCATGTACCCCCTATTTGGTTGCTGAGAAAAATAGAGGAAGGAAAAAAGTGAAAGGAAAATTGTAACGGTGACGGGGATAAGGTGGCGGGGGCGGGTATGGAGATTCTGGAAAAATTTTAAGTGGGGGTGAGGATGGGGAATAAAAAATTCATCGGGGATGGGGATGGGGAATGGAATCCCAGCCCCACCCCACCCCACCCCACCCCACCCCACCCCATTGCCATCCCTACAGTGTATCGCCCCACAGCATACACAATTTATGTTCCATGATGCCTCCATTAGGGAAATAGTTTGATGAACATACTTCTTTCTTCTTGTTATGCAAATGCATTGAATTAAGTATCCTAGCAGTTCAATAATCATGATACAATTTCAATCTTCTCTTCTTTTTTCTGTTTTTTTTTTCCCCAGTAAGGAACTTCAAATTGTCCATGTTGTTTGACGATGAAGAGACATTTAGCTTCTCTTTGATTAATAAAGAATTTTCAGTCTGTAAGTAGTGGATGCATGATTCCTCTGTGGAAACTAAATCAGAGTGTTTGAAAATGTTAAGAAAAATAATTGGGTAGTTTTGATTTTTTGACAGCCCTTTTGGGACAACACAGAAACTGTCCCTAAAGACACCCTTTTTGGTGACAGTCCTAACATTTCTGTCCCTAAAAGACCAAAAAAATAAACTACGCCTCCAATATAATGGCGGCAAAATTTAGCCTATCTTGGCTAGTCATTTTGGTGACACTGTGATTGACAAACTCTTTGCAAGATTTGCATATCATGTGGCTGAGAATCAGTTCGTGAAGAAACTGAAATGCTTCAACATAGTTATTTCGTTAACAAAGAAGTGACCATTCACAAAGGGCAAATAATGGTGTTTCAATTTAGGATTCAGAAATATGTTATGTTAATTAACATGATATATATATATATATATATATATATATATATCTGTATGTGTGTGTGTGTGATGTTTTTCTGGCACAATAACAATAGGCACTAGCTCAAAATGTTTAGTTGAACACGTAAAGTGCCAGTACTTTATATTTTTGGAATATCCCATTCATTTGTCTTAATTGATTGGATTGATAGTTTGGAATGTTTTCTATTAATCGCTTGTTTGTTTCGTGCCGCAGATATTCTTTACAAGGACTATCAGAGCCACGAGAAGTTTAGTGTCACTACTTACTCTTCTACTGTGTTGTAAGTTTTTTTTATTTTTTTTTATTATTATTTTTTTTTTCCATTGCTTCTTATATCTGTATATTTGCTTTTTTGATTATTACGGCCTTATACATGTGTGTGTGGGCATTTGTATTATCATATAGTTATACCCTCTTTGATCTTTGTTTCACTTTCAACTTTTGATGTATGTGGTTAATGCATAGACTTAAAACATGTGTGCACACGCATTTATTATCATTTTGTTCCACATTAACTTTGGTATATGTTGTGCATGGTTTTACTTTTTGTGAACTTTTTTATCACATCTTTGTTTATCCATTTTAAAAATTGGGTGCTGGTATGCTTTCTAGTTTGCTGGCTTTCTGGGATGTATAACTATGAACTTTCTGAGCAAATTTTGGCATTCTGGGTGCGAGTCCTTTATATTTTTTAAATTTTGCCTATGCATTGTATACAATTTTTTAGAAACCCGCCTGTATTGCATGATCTGTTGAAGCCGTCACCCCATCAAAAATAATTCTCCCCATGCTATTCCCTCTTCTATGAGCGTTAGCTAACCTGTGGAAAAATTTGGTATTCCGATCCCCATCTTTAAGCCATAATGCTCTAAATTTCTGCCTCCACCAGATTTCTTCCATCCTCACGATTTCTTCAAACCGTGCTTTACACTCCTCCCTCCTATTTCTTTCCAATGTATCTAGTCCCTCCATCCCCTCCTCCTTATCCAACTCTGATATATCAGTGAGCATACGATTCTTCCTCCACTCTAGCATACCAAACTCCTCCTTATTCCATACCTTAATGTCATTCTTCAAACATTTTAACTTTTCTGCAATTTGAAAACTGGGACTTCCCCTTAAAGCTTACTCACCCTTTCTTTAAAATCATCCACACGAAGCCACATATTCTCGAACCTAAAAGGGGATTTGCCTCTCCTAATCCCTCCACAGTCGAGAAGAATTGGCACATGATCAGAAGCAGCCCTAGCACAGGCCTTCTACTACTAATATGGTTTCTTCCAGAATTGAGCCTCAAACTCCTTCCTGTTCCTATCATTCTAAGAGATGATGTTTTCCATTCCTAAAGCTCTTTTTAGTCCAGATTCTTACTCTAAGAGCCCTCGAAATCATGTACGTAAATTCATGCAATAACAATAAAGACATTCGGTACAAAGACACATTTATTTTGGGAACACAATAACCCACAACATATTACATAGAGGTGTAACATTTGATGGTATCGCCCCAAAATGTATCCATGAGAATAGCAGGACCAAACAAATAGATATGAGTCTATGACAGCACCTTTTTTTTCACATCCGACCTTGCATTTTTTGCTTGATTATGATTTTCATTATCAATAATCTACACTTTTTGCTTTTGAAATTAAGTTTGTAAAATATCAAATATAACTGAATAAGTTCAACTAACACACACAATGCATAAATACTAAAATAAAAAATAAAAAAAAGACAAAGAAGTATGGTACACATCAAAATGGCCTAATAACAAAATCAAGAAATTGACAGATCAAGAAATTGGGTAACCATTTCTATTCACCCTATTTCAATTCCTAAATCTCTCGAAGATTTCAATTCCATGTTGAATACTGAAAACAAGAAATCAATTGTGTCTCTAATAATTTAAAATACTTGCTCTCTCACAATTACCATAAGCACTCCAACGTGAAGATGAAGGAACCAGTAAACAGCCATAAAAGATTGCATTCCAACTCTCCAATGGAGTCTAGCTTTCTACATTTGCCCACTGAAGCCCGAATTCAATGCAAACACGCCTTTAAACCACCCCATGGCTCTGTCACTATGACAAATAGTCTCCAACACCACCACCACCAACGCCACAGTCCACCGGAAAAAAAACATGTTTCCTGGCTTACCAGAGGTCTGGTTTACCACCTTAATCCGACTGAAACAGAACTGAGGAAACCATGAACTTACCCTCCATTCCTAAAAAAATCCCCGTACATTATATTTGATCCGAGTCATACGACTCATAATTAATCAAGAACCGTAATGATATGATAGCTGAATGCTATCAAGTCATATTAATAGGATAATTGGAGTTCCAAAACAAGAGACCTCTTGGAAATAGGCCAGAACGCATCTCTCATCTGAGTTACACTCGCATCACAAAACACTATGGTATCGTCTGCAAACAGCAAGTGTGAAGTAATTCCATTTTTTTTCCAAAAGGTCAAGCACAGAGAGGCGCAATGGGGATCAGAAATGTTCATTCCTCGGAACTGTCTCTACAACCGTAAATCATCAGTGGAGTCACATGTGGGTTTATTAAATCATCAGTGGAGTCACATGTGGTTTATTAAATCATCAATGGAGTCACATGTGGTTTATTATTATAGCTTGTTTTTTTCTTCTTCTAATAACTGTAACTGAAAACCCTCTCTCTTGCAATATATATAATAAGGCTGAGTTTAGTTGCAACTGAACATAGCAATAGGGTAAAGTGCAAAAACACCCTGCAAACCCCTGTTTTTTTGAAAAGCATAGAAGAACAAATACAAAACCAAAAAGAGTAACCTTCATCCGAGAAAATATATATATATATTTTGATTGTGTGTGAAGGTTACTCTTTTTGGTTTTGTATTTGTTCTTCTATGCTTTTCAAAAAACACAGGGGTTTGCAGGGTGTTTTTGCACTTTACCCTATTGCTATGTTCAGTTGCAACTAAACTCAGCCTTATTGATATTATACTCAGCCTTATTGATATTATTGTCTTCCGCATTACTTTTCTTAATCAGGTTGATGAAACACGTGGTCTTAAATTTTTGGTAAAAGATCTGCTCAAGTGCTTGAAAGTTTCGGAAAGCGAGGCGGCATTTTGCTATAAGTACACGGTTTCTGTCTTTCTTCTCCCTAATTTTTTCACTTCAGTTATTTGACATGGAAATTTAATTTAATAATTGCTTACCATTCACCAGAAAAAAGAAAGAAAAAAAAAAACATGAAAGAAAAAGACATTTAGTCTCTAGCACTGGAAAACCACTATATGTATAGATGAAGTTCTTCCCATATGCTAGTATTTTTATATTTGAATTTTGACATCAATTTTTCAATTGAACTCTATGTAGGTGGTGGTATGCAGAATATCAAAACCCCCAATGACACTGCCAATCAAGGGATTGCAGAAAGAATTGGTACTGCTTTTCTACGCTATTGGTTTTTCGAGTCTGATTTAATTCTAATTCAATTGTGGGCTATTGGTTTTTCGAGTCTGATTTAATTCTAATTCAATTGTGGGCTCCCGTGACAGCTGAAGCTGGGCATTTACAACTTGTAACTTCACGGCAGCCCTATTCTCTCAGTGAAGATCCTGAAGAACAACTTCTCAAGTATAGGAACCACTTCATGCAATACAAAATTAATTTGGATGGTGAAGACAACATCGGAATTCCTGGCCTTGCATTCCAGCAGAAACGGAACGTTTACACTCAAGATGTGCGGTTTTACTCTGCGAAAGAGTACCCCCAGCACGATTTTGCTCGAACTTGCAATATTTTTTCTTGTTTTGCATGCCCAGTTTTTGGAACTTCTTCCCAGGATTGCATTGGTGTACTTGACTTTTCAACTTCTTCTTTTGCAGCCTTAAAAAGCACGTCCAATACGTTTTTGAAGCATTCTCTGAAGGTTTGTTGAAAGCTGAAACCCGCTTCAAATTAATTTGCTCAGATATTAATACTTTTTCCTTTTCATTTATCTAACCATTACAACTTTATGCACTTCATCTTCCCTTGCAGGCCGTGGGTTTGAAAAGTTCTACATGTAACCATACTAAGCCTAAAATTCCAGGTGCTGAAATCTACGAAGGCTTGGAAGTGGTATGCAAAACTCACAAGATACCTTTAGCTCTAGCATGGGTTCCATGCAGCCTTGGTTGCAGTTCTAGCTACATTGAACAATCTTTTCACATTGAAGAACCGACATGTTACATTATTGATACAAAGCTATTGGAATTCGTGTATTTCTGTGGTTTGATCGAGTTAAGAAAAGAGCAGGGAGTTGCTGTGAGGGCATATCTGTCACAGAAACCATGTTTTTGCAAAGACATTACTCAATTCAGCATAAATGAGTGCCCCTTGCTTCCGGATGCAAGTTTCTTTGGGTTAAAGGGTTGTTTTGCAGTTTCTGCGCTGAAAATCCTAATCACATACTTGAGTTCTTTTTTAATCCCGAAAACAACTACGGTGAGGACCCAATCTCATTTCTGGGCCCAATATTAGAAACATTGAGAGAACACTTTCCAAGCTTTAAGCTTGCCTCTGGAGAACTCGGGGACGGGATTGCAATTGCAATTATTAAACCTTTGGAACCTGTTGCTTTGGAAATTAATAACTCTGGAAGGAATTTAGTTAGTCCAGAGCAAATTAGCATTGCTTCTTCTCCAAATTCAGTTATGAGGGAGGAACTCATGAAGCTTTCTGGAAAAGGAATGAAAGAAGCCGCAGCAGCAATTATGAAGGGTAAGCTTACAATCTAATTAGATATTGTTTGAATCTTGCTCTTATTATTTTTAACTTTTCAGTTTCATAACTATGAGTTTTCTTTTGCAATTACAAACTCAATTTTTGCTATTGAATTCTAATTTTTGTAGTGAGCATATCCACGCTTAGGCGTAGATGCAGAAAATGTGGTATCCAACGGTGGCGATCGAATTCTAGTTCAGATCTGACACTTGTGAATCCAGTTACTGCACCACAACCATGCGCAGGGAATCCAGTTGCAACACCATCAAGGATCATAATTGCGACATGTGGAGGTGACACCATAAAATTTACACTACCTCTTTCTTCCGGAATGGTGGAATTGAAAGAAAAAGTGTCCATGAGGTTGGAGAAGCTAATCGGCGGAAGTTACAAAATTAAATATAAAGATGATCTCGGCAGCTGGATTTTGATGGCACGCCGCTCATCTTATTTTTAAACGACTTGGCCCCAAATCGCTGATGAAAATCTTGGGCCACATCTAGAATTGAGTTGCCTCTGTGAAGGTTCCAATGGCACATGTCGGAAATACCAGCCCATACCTGCCAGGTGAAGTCTCAATTATAAAAGAGGCGATCAGTAGTTTCCGCACTACGTCAACAGAGGAAACAAACTAATGCCAGAGATATTCCCCTTGTCTGAAGATAGGAGCTAGTCATTATAGCCTTATGAAGGACAAGAACCGTATGAGTGCTCCATCTCGGACAACCTCCACTCCAGCTGAGATCATCCCAGAAAACCAGAGGATACTTAATTCTGCATGCCTGCCACACCAGTTTGAAAGAAGATTGAGATGATTGCAACAACATTTGGTCCGCTCCCCCATTAATCTTGTGCTTCTGGAAGTAGATATGAATGTCTTGAACCTCATCGTTGAACCCGGAATTATTCCATTGCTGCTCCCGAATTAAATCAATCAGGACTGTCTGTTTGTTCCTATGAATTCCATGTACCCTTCTGAGCTGAAACACTTCTGAAATGAAGGCTCCATCACACCATGGGTCAAAGAAAAAATGTATAGTGTCGCCATTACCAATTTTATAACAACAATTCTCTTTGACTATATCTCTAACTGAGATTATACTCTTCCAGATTGAGGAGTAGGAAGCTCTAGGGACTGCGTGCCAAAATGATGCCTTTTTGAGATAACAATTTTAAACCATGCAACCCATAATCGACCAAAATGAGGCCTTTGTTCCTGCAAAGACATTACTCAATTCAGCAAAAATGTGTGCGCCTTGCTTCCGGATGCAAGGTTATTTGGGTTAAAGGGTTGCTTTGCAGTTTACTTGCAAAGCAACTGCGCTGAAAATCCTAATCATATACTTGAGTTCTTTTTAAATACCGAAAACAACTACGGTTAGGACCCAATCTCATTTCCGGGCCCGATATTAGAAACATTGAACGAACACTTTCCAAGCTTTAAGCTTGCCTCTGGAGAACTCGGGGACGGGATTGCAATTGCAATTATTAAACCTTTGGAACCTATTGCTTTGGAAATTGTTGACTCTGAAAGGAATTTAGTTAGTCCAGAGCAAATTAGCATTGCTTCTTTTCCAAATTCAGTTATGAGGGAGGAACTCATGAAGGGGATATCTGAGGGTATGCCCTCATTTGTGTAATGTACTTTATTGTTAGTATCTATAAATAATTCCTTCATTTAGGGGGAAAAAAACTAGTTTAGAACACACCTCTACATAATTAGTCAGATCACCGGCTCAATGACCATACTGATTACTGCCTTCAAATCGAATGGATTGGAAACATTCATTACGTCATTGAGACAATCTTGTACGTCATGGTCGCATGCCATCAAAATCCAGCTGCCGAGATCATCTTTATATTTAATTTTGTAACTTCCGCCGATTAGCTTCTCCAACCTCATGGACACTTTTTCTTTCAATTCCACCATTCCGGATGAAAGAGGTAGTGTAAATTTTATGGTGTCACCTCCACATGTCGCACTTATGATCCTTGATGGTGTTGCAACTGGATTCCCTGCGCGTGGTTGTGGTGCAATAACTGGATTCACAAGAGTCAGATCTGAACTAGAATCCGATCCCCACCGTTGGATACCACATTTTCTGCATCTACGCCTAAGCGTGTATATGCTCACTACAAAAATTAGAATTCAATAGCAAAAATTGAGTTTGTAATTACAAAAGAAAACTCATAGTTCTGAAACTGAAAAGTTAAAAATAATACGAGCAAGATTCAAACAACAATATCTAATTAGATTGTAAGCTTACCCTTCATAATTGCTGCGGCTTCTTTCATTCCTTTTCCAGAAAGCTTCATGAGTTCCTCCCTCATAACTAAATTTGGAGAAGCAGCAATGCTAATTTGCCCTGGACTAACTAAATTCCTTCCAGAGTTAACAATTTCCAAAGCAACAGGTTCCAAAGGTTTACTAATTGCAATTGCAATCCCGTCCCCGAGTTCTCCAGAGGCAAGCTTAAAGCGTGGAAAGTGTTCGCTCAATGTTTCTAACATCGGGCCCAGAAATGAGATTGGGTCCTCACTGTAGTTGTTTTCGGGATTTAAAAAGAACTCAAGTATATGATCAGGATTTTCAGCGCAGTTGCTTCGCAAGTAAACTGCATAGCAATCCTTTAACCCAAATAACCTTGCATCCGGAAGCAAGGGGCACTCACTTATGCTAAATTTAGTAATGTCTTTGCAGAAACAAGGTTTCTGTGACAGATATGCCCTCCCAGCAACTCCCTGCCCCTTTCTTAACTCGATCAACCCACAGAAATACACGAATTCCAATAGCTTCGTATCAATAATATAACATGTCGGTTCTTCAATGTGAAAAGATTGTTCAATGTAGCTAGAACTACAACCAAGGCTGCATGGAACCCATGCTAGAGCTAAATGTCACGGGCCTAGAGATTTGGCACAGCGGCACGGCCCGTGCGGCACCAAGGCGTTGCTTCAGCTCGCGCAAGCGCCCTGGTCAGCCACCACGACCTGCCCTCCCAATGATACATGCTGACTGGTTTCGGCCTGCCATGGCCTCGTCAGGGGAACGGCTCCAGCTCCCGACCAGTTTGTGCAGGGATGGCCAACTCCCTTCTTCATAGTCAAGTCCACGACCAGCGACAAGCACCTCGAACTGAACCGAGTCGACCTGCCTGAACTCTGAAGAGGTACCATCCTGTGCTCCTGCACGCCCCTTCCCTGGAACCATTCCCAGTCAAACTCTGCTCTTTGCCAACCAGCATGCGTGTCTTCCATCCTCCAAGCGTCTTAGGAATCACTTCGTGACATTCTCCCCCACCCAAATCCTGCGACGTCCTCGTCGCAGTGCGGCGCTTCACTACTGCGTCCACTCCCTTCCAAAGTCTGCCTCCATGCGGTATGCTCGCCTTCCCACCATCGCTTCCTTGTGCAGCTCCCTGCACTGCACTCGCCCAATGATAGGCCTCGGACCAAGGGGACGTCCACTCCTCAAGGACGTGACTCTTCTCCGTCATGCCGCCTCCGCGACATCCCGAGCAAGCAATGGCCTTCTGCCGACTTGATGCTCGCCCTTCACCATGGTTTGCATCACCCAAGGACTAAGCACGAACTTTGGTGCGCGCGGCCCTCCGGCCCTTCAATGCGCAACTTCAACGGACGCCTCTTCCTGGGGAGATGGAGGCTCTCCCCCCCAACTGCATTGATTCCTCCTCATCGACGCAACTTCAATGCACCGTCTTCATTCTCTGACCCCTCCCGGACCGACAAGGGGGCACCCCACCGTGCTTTACCCCAAGTCCTGCTCTGATACCATTTGTCACGGGCCTAGAGATTTGGCGCAGCGGCACGGCCCGTGCGGCACCAAGGCGTTGCTTCAGCTCGCGCAAGCGCCCTGGTCAGCCACCGCGACCTGCCCTCCCAAGGATACATGCTGACTGGTTTCGGCCTGCCATGGCCTCGTCAGGGGAACGGCTCCAGCTCCCGACCAGTTTGTGCAGGGATGGCCAACTCCCTTCTTCATAGTCAAGTCCACGACCAGCGACAAGCACCTCGAACTGAACCGAGTCGACCTGCCTGAACTCTGAAGAGGTACCATCCTGTGCTCCTGCACGCCCCTTCCCTAGAACCATTCCCAGTCAAACTCTGCTCTTTGCCAACCAGCATACGTGTCTTCCATCCTCCAAGCGTCTTAGGAATCACTTCGTGACATAAAGGTATCTTGTCAGTTTTGCATACCACTTCCAAGCCTTCGTAGATTTCAGCACCTGGAATTTTAGGCTTAGTACAGTTGCATGTAGAACTTTTCAAACCCACGGCCTGCAAGGGAAGATGAAGTGAATAAAGTTGTAATGGTTAGATAAATGAAAAGGAAAAAGTACTAATATCTGAGCAAATTATTTTGAAGCGGGGTTTCAGCTTTCAACAAACCTTCAGAGAATGCTTCAAAAACGTATTGGACGTGCTTTTTAAGGCTGCAAAAGAAGAAGTAGTTGAAAATTCAAGTACACCAATGCAATCCTGGGGAACGCAAGGCCAAGAATTCTGATGTCGTCTTCACCATCCAAATTAATTTTGTATTGCATTGAGTGGTTCCTATACTTAAGAAGTTGTTCTTCAGGATCTTCACTAAGAGAATAGGGCTGCCGTGAAGTTACAAGTTAAACGCCCAGCTTCAGCTGTCACGGGAGCCCACAATTGAATTAGAATTTGATCAGACTCGAAAAACCAATAGCGTAGAAAAGCGGTACTAATTCTTTCTGCAATCCCTGGATTGGCAGTGTCATTGGGGGTTTTGATATTCTGCATACCACCACCTACAAAGAGTTCAATTGAAAATTGATGTCAAAATTCAAATATAAAAATACTAGCATATGGGAAGAACTTCATCTATACATATCGTGGTTTTCCAGTGCTAGAGACTAAATGACTTTTTCTTTCATGTTTTTTTTTCCTTCTTTTTTCTGGTGAATGGTAAGCAATTATTAAATTAAATTTCCATGTCAAATAACTGAAGTGAAAAAATTAGGGAGAAGAAAGACAGAAACCGTGTACTTGTAGCAAAATGCCCACGCCTCGCTTTCTGAAACTTTCAAGCACTTGAGCAGATCTTTTACCAAAAATTTAAGACCACGTGTTTCATCATCTTGATCATGAAGAGGGGGTGTCTGATGATCTTTATCACGTTCACAAACCTCATCCAAATGAGGATTGTCGTTAGAACAAAACCTTCAGGCTCCTTAAAAAGTAGATCGTTGTTTAACAACAGAGGGTCCGAAGGAAACCCTTCTGAAAAACCAGGATCAGGAGGGTCTGCCATCTCCAACAATGAAGCTACCTACCTGATTAAAAAAAGTAATGCGGAAGACAATAATATCAATAAAGCTGAGTTTAGTTGCAACTGAACATAGCAATAGGTAAAGTGCAAAAACACCCTGCAAACCTGTTTTTTTTTTTAAGTATAGAAGAACAAATACAAAACCAAAAAGAGTAACCTTCATCCGAGAAGTAGAACACACAATCAATATATATATATATATATATATATATATATTTTGCAAGAGAGAGGGTTATCAGTTACAATTATTAGAAGAAGAAAAAATAAGCTATAATAATAAACCACATGTGACTCTACTGATGATTTACGCTTGCAGAGACGGTTCCAAGGAATGAACATCTCTGATCCCCAATGCGCCTCTCTCTACTTGACCTTTTGGAAAAAAAAAATGGAATTACTTCACATTTGCTGTTTGCAGAAGATACCATAGTATTTTGTGATGCAAGTGTAAGTCAGATGAGACTAGGGATAGCAATTTGACCCGCCCCCACGGTTACCCGCCCCACCCCACCCCATTTTTGGTGGTTTTGGGGGACCGTTTTGCTTATTTGGGTGGGGATGGTTTGATACAATAAAAACCCGCGCGGTTTTGGTGAGGGGGCGGGGGCAGGTCGCCCCGCACCGCCCCGCCCCGTTTAGATAGGCAAATCATTTAAGTACCCTAATTTTATTAATATACATATTTCCCACTATATATTAATTACCCCATATAACAATATTAAAGTAACAAATAAATTTTATTAAAAGAAAAAGTTGCAATGGTGAAGAATTGAAGATGAGGGAAAAAAAAGAGCAAATCCATTTCAACAATAATTAAATTATGGTCTTAAACGGGGCGGGGCGGGTACCCGCGGGGGTAAAAATGTTAAATGGTTACGGGGATGGGGTGGAAAGTTCCTCTGTTTTTACAATTTTGAGCGAGGATTGGGGCGGGGTTTTTAAACGGTTGCGGGAGCAGGGGAGGGTAGACCCACCCAAACCCGCCCCCGTTGCCATCCCTAGATGAGACATCTGAGATGCGTTCTCGCCTATTTCCAAGAGGTTTCTTGTTTCGGAACTCCAATTATCCTATTAATATGACTTGATAGCATTCGGCTTCATTATATCATATCATTACGGTCCTTGATTAAGTATGAGTCGTATGACTCGGATCAAATATAATGTACGGGAATTTTTTTAGGAATGGAGGGTAAGTGCATGGTTTCCTCAGTTCTGTTTCAGTCGGATTAAGGTGGTAAACCAGACCTCTGGTAAGCCAGGAAACATGTTTTTTTCCCAGTGGACTGTGGCGTTGGTGGTGTTGGTGTTGGAGACTATTTGTCATAGTGACAGAGCCATGGGGTGGTTTAAAGGCGTGTTTGCATTGAATTCGGGCTTCAGTGGGCAAATGTAGAAAGCTAGACTCCCTTGGAGAGTTGGAATGCAATCTGTTATGGCTGTTTACTGGTTCCTTCATCTTCACATTGGAGTGCTTATGGTAATTGTGAGAGAGCAAGTATTTTAAATTATTAGAGACAGAATTGCTTTCTTGTTTTTAGTATTCAAAATGGAATTGAAATCTTCGAGAGATTTAGGAATTGAAATAGGGTGAATAGAAATGGTTACCCAATTTCTTGATCTGTGCATGTGTTTCTTGATTTTGTTATTAGGCCATTTTGATGTGTACCATACTTCTTTGTCTTTTTTTATTTTTTATTTTAGTATTTATGCATTGTGTGTGTTAGTTGAACTTATTCAGTTATATTTGATATTTTACAAACTTAATTTCAAAAGCAAAAAGTGTAGATTATTGATAATGGAAAATCATAATCAAGCAAAAAATGCAAGGTCGGATGTGAAAAAAAAGGTGTTGTCATAGACTCATATCTATTTGTTTGGTCCTGCTATTCTCATGGATACATTTTGGGCCGATACCATCAAATGTTACACCTCTATGTAATATGTTGTGGGTTATTGCGTTCCCAAAATAAATGTATCTTTGTACCGAATGTCTTTATTGTTATTGCATGAATTTACGTACATGATTTCGAGGGCTCTTAGAGCAAGAATCTGGACTAAAAAGAGCTTTAGGAATGGAAAACATCATCTCTTAGAATGATAGGAACAGGAAGGAGTTTGAGGCTCAATTCTGGAAGAAACCATATTAGTAGTAGAAGGGAAAAACGCTATATAATAATCAGAATCAAAGGAAAAGCATGAAATCCTTTCTTGAGGTTGCCTGAAATCCTTTCTTGAGGTTGCCTCAGTTGTCTTGGACAGAAAGAGGCTGTGGGAGGAGCTACGTAGTGTCGGAAGTAGATGGGATGATCCCTGGTGTATTGGGGGGATTTTAATGCTGTTCTCAGGCCAAGCGAGAGATCTTCAAGGGGGTCCTTTGATTGGGCGATGATGGATTTTCGAATTTTGTGGAGACTCATTACTTGCTGGATCTACCTATGGAGGGAGGGATATTTACATGGGCGAGTGGGCGTGACTCTACTGTCATGTCTCGGCTGGACAGATTCCTTCTATCGGTGGAGATAGAGGAGAAATTTCCTGATGTGTCACAGGTGGCCTGTGCTAGGGCTGCTTCTGACC